TGCCGGTGTCGGATGGCACCAGCATGTCCGCAAGGATGATGTGTGTAGACGAGTGCTAGGTAGTGATAACCAGGCTAGTTCCTTAGAACAACAGATAGCACTGAATGAGCTGCGTTGGCTTGGGTACGTACTACGTATACCCGGTCACCGCCTACCGAGGAGAGCCTTGTTATGTTTATCAGATGTAGTGGCGCAAGGCTCGAAGTGGACAAAAGTTGACTTGGCGGAGGGAAATGAAGTCACTGACGACTAAACACAGTGCCGTAGGGCTGTCCCGCCTGCCAGGCTGAAGTGCCGTGACCCGCCTTGTGTTTAGCTCGAGACGTTACACGACATGGCTCGTAGTCGTAATAGTGGTGTGCCTGCCGTGGTCTCCTACTTGGATTGCCTGTTTGAAGTGGGTTTGGTGTTGAGTTATCTGCGGGGTAGTGGCTGATTATGACGCGGGGCAGTGAAAGCCGCAAGGAAGCTGTCTCGCCGACGCCGCCTTTGCGCTATAGCCAGCTGTCTGTGGTGGTACGTTATGGTCAAGGTATAGGCGCCTTGACCCCGAACGTTTGTTTAGAGCATTAAGGTTTTGCGAAAAGTCTCTTCTCTGCCTCTTATTGTTCTTCGTTCTGTAGGGTATCCTGGTTGTATGTCGTCAATGCACCAGTTCAGGTGGCTGATTTACTGTTGTTGAGGATGATGAAGAGTGAGTGCAGGCACAGGCACGTGAAGGTCCTGGAAAAAAGTCTTGCATTTGCATGGGGAAAAACCATCCCACACTTTGACGCTTCAATCGCCAAGCGTTTGAATGCAGGTAGAACTGCCTGTGGACTGTCACCCAGTAAGACGATATCATCAGCGTAGTCCAACTCAATAACTCGACTACCTGGGGGAGAGCTAAACGCCAGAGCTCAACGAATCTTCCAGAGCATCTTTGAAGACATCCCCTATGGTAAAATTGAACAGGAACGGAGAGATAGAGCATCCTTGTCGAACTCCAATGGTGACAGCAAACGAAGGCGAAAGGTTGCCAAAGCTCTAACTCTACCTCAGGCCAGGCTGCACATAGTGAGCAGTACGGAAACGAACTTCCCGGGGACGCCATTCCTCAACAAACAGTGAAAGCCGCTAGGAAGCAGTCTCACCGATGCCGCCTTACCTTTGCACGATAACCAGTTTTTGTGAGGGTATGTTGTCTACATAAGATGTAGGCGCCTTGACCCTGAATGTTTCTTACGGCGCTTAGGTTTTATGCCGAGACCCCCTTCTATCGTATTATTTTGCGTTCCGCAGGTCACCGTGCTTGTATGGCTGATGTACTACTGTTGATGATGAGGAATGTTGCGACCAGACATATCACATCGTTGCATAATGTGATGCTTCAGCACAACCCGATAGATCGGGAGACTTACTCCGATCTGTTCACATTAGAATTGGAACATAATAGCACCTGGATGCTTCGCAACAAAAGTTGTATACTAACTGGCCAAAAGGCTCTTCGCTCTAATTTCTTCCTCATTAGATATGCTGTTCTGTGGTATAGCCTACCAGACACTAGTACGTGTTGCGCAAACACAGTGATGAAATTAAAGTTTATCCGACCAGAACGTGATAATGATCATGCCTTAAGCAAAATAGTCGACAGACAAAATCTTCCAGGATGGACTAAAAAACATACAACCCATGGGAGAAAAACAGGTACACAAAAACAAAACACCAACAAAAAACTGTCTGAATAATAATAAGCATGATGAATATGACAAGGTTAATAATGTACAATCTTGGGTTCAAAAGACATGCACTGTACGGCGTGATCAAGTGTTTCGTATGATAGCCACAGAATAGGCCAGATGCTGGACAAAAATGTGAATCATATTTGTAGCACCGCTGGGTTGTTCAGCTCAAAGCTACAAATTGGTATAAAATATTTCGGTGGCGTCCAGACAGAAAGCCCCCTGCATGGAGGGGACCAAGTTTTCTTTTTCTTGGGGTATGGGATGAAGAACAACACAGAGACTACCGAACTCTGCGCAATTATACACGAGCATGCTCAAAACTGTACCTAATGATCTGCGATTAACACATAAACAGTCCCTCGCGCACTCCAGAAATAGACATGCTACTAATTTATGGTTAAATTTCGTGTAGCTCCTAGCATTGCTCACGCTCTATTACATTGCTTGCTGCGTCCATTAACTCCATTGAAAGCATCGACAAATGATTTTATCAAGTTACCACTGAGAAGCAGTCCCATTAACCCACAGTGAGGCCAGTGCACTTGTCTGTCTTGCGTAATGCAACTTTCATCCAATTTCTGTGCGAATGGATTCCCCCTGCCCTGTGTGGTGCGAAATCCCCTGCTTGTGACAATATCAGGCGTCAGAACATCGGGCAGTAGATGCCCGAAAAGAGAAGAAAGCAGAGGACAACTCGAATTGATTCTGAGAACAATGCGGCCAGACGGGGAACGAGATACAAGTTAAAATGCGGCCTGTAAACTGCTAGGGATGTGTGGTGAGCTAAAAGAGCCAAGGAAATGGAGGAGCAAGAATCGGTGGGTAAACAACAAAGCTGGGTCATCATCATCACCATCATCGTCATAATCACCAGCATCATACACGTCAGATGAAGGTGGAAAACACCTCAGCTATTGTGCCGCAATACAAAAGACAAGAAAAGGGAAACAAACAGTGGCACGCCGGCCGAGTCCCCAGTAACGGATGGACATCGTTCAGGAGAGCTAACAGCTAGCTATCATGCCGTAAAAAGAGTTATATTAGGTCTAACGAGTCAGATCGTGATTGGAGGGGGTGGACAAAGGAACTCACAACACAAACACCACTGGGGCCGGCTCCAAGCCATATCAGCAAATGTGTCTAACCAAACGTGTTCACCGTCCTTAGGACTCCAGCCAACCAGTCGGGATGCATCAACAGACGCCAACTTCGAAGTGAGGGTTTTCGTTCCTCAGGATCAACTCATCGATTGGCCTCCCCTCCTACTCTTCCAACAGCACCCACAACGCGCAAACAATGCACGTCGAGGAAATCGGTGTGCTGGTATACGCAACACTTGGCCCTGCCATCGGAGCCTGGTGCGTGATATAATGGTGCTGAGCGATTCACTCGCTCTTCCTACACCAAGTACGCGACACCGAACACGCCCATTGCTTACGTGACGCGCCCACCAGACATGTGTTAAGCTGCGAAGGCAGTGATGATCGAATATGACGAGCCGCTTTATGTCTGTCGACCTGATGGGCCAGGTTTCACAGCCACATAGGAGAGTTGAATGGACGGCTGCGTTAGAAACTCTGCCCTTCAGGGCGAGAGTAATGTCGCGCCTGCGTCACAGGTGGCGGAGATTGGCAAAAGCACCTCGAGCTTATGCTATACGGTTCGTAACTTTATCTTTAATCTCAAGGGCGTTAATATAGCTGCCCAGGTACCTGAATTCCTGAACGACTTCTAGCAGATCACCATCAAGCGTTAGCGCGGGGTTGGGTCGCTGACAATTTTGGAGAAGTACTTTGCATTTTGATGGAGAAAAGCATAGCTCACAAAAAATTGACAACCAGTGCTAATCGGTCCAGTGCTGCTTGGCATGGTTGGGAGCTGTCACAGATTAGGGCAATATCGTCCGCATACTTCACGTCAAGAAGTCGGTCACCAGGAAGTAGGTCCACACCTTCTAGGTCATGTCCAGCGAACGCTATTTTCATGACTTCATCAATAGTGAAGTTAAAGAGGAAAGATGACAACGGGCAACCTTGTCTCACACCGCTGGTGATACTGAAGGGTGGCGACAGTTTGTCATAAACCCTCACTCTGCCCGAACTATGCGTGTACAGCGCTTTGATAATGTTTACATATTTACCAGACATACGTTTGTTCAGCAGACATTCCCAAAGGGCACGTCGATCGACTGGGTTGAAGGCACCTTTTATGTCAAGAAACACGACAAAGGTGGGTCGCCAATAAACATGGCGGTGCTCCAACAATTGACACAAGCTGAAGATATAGTCGATGCAGCCCCGACATCGACGAAATCCGGCTTGCGATTCCCGACTCTGGCTTCCACGAGTGCCAGTCACTCTGTGGAGAACGACAGACGCAAGCGATTTGGAGGCAACTGAGACCAAACTGATCCCTCTATGATTGCCACATTCCGAACGGGAGTCTCCCTTGAAAATTGGGACAATGACGGAGCAACTCCAGTCTGTCGGGATAGTTTCCTGTGCCCAAAGTTTCACTAACAACTCGTGTAAATCATCTACTAGAGCAGGTCCACCGAATTTGAACAGGGCTGGCGGAATTCTATCTGCACCTGCAACCTTATGCAATTTCAACAGCCTGGTCTCACGCTCAACTTCTGCGCGTGAAGGCGGATCGAAGGAGACGGCCTAGGGAAAAGGGCACACAATGTTCGAAAAAGAAATCGATAACAGATTAATTAACTTGCCTTGCGAAGTGTTCAGCCCAACGACAAAGTTAGGTTCGATCAATGCGTGTGAGACGCCAGTTCATATGACAATAGGGGCAGTACTGCTACAAAACACCGAGTCTCCTCTGAATCGCAGTTGCCGTGGTGCACCGCAGGCTAATCAAGGCAGTTATAAAATTATGTGAACTGACAACAGTAATCACACACCCATTGCGTCTAACGTAGTTTCTTGTCATCAATAGTTAAGGAACTAGTAAGTGGTCTTACAGTGGCCCGCTACAATCTGAAGGCGAAAAGAGTAGATCGGAAAAGGGGACCAATACATAGGGTCTAGCTAGGACAAATTGTGTTACTTTCTGAGTGTCAGAAAACGGGACGAGATTGTCCGCAAGATCCTGTTCAATCAGTATTCATCGCAGTGATGGTACGCAAAAAACAACGATCCATGACGGAATGTCCCAAAAAGAACACTAACACCGGCCAATCTTTTCTGTCGGAGTACACTTTGGTGAAATACTTCGAGTAAAAGAACAATGGATTTAAATGTGACAAAGCCAGTAAAAACTTACTTTAACTCTCGAGCCATAGCAGTCGCTGTTGGCAGGGGGACCTGACGTTCGGCTACCAGATCAAACTTGTTGCCCACAAGAACCACATCGGGCCGATCGCAGTACGCGTGCTGACACAGTAGATCCATCCACTCACGACAGTTGTGGAGGCTTTTCTCATTTGTCAGATCGAACACAAGCAAGAAACCCATCGCGTCGCGGAGAAATACTGAACATAAACTTCGATACCTGTTCATACAATGGAACAAAAAACCAGGCAGCAAAGGTGAATCATCGAAACCGCGCTGCAGGTGGTCCAAACAGATGAAGTACCAGAAAACACGTACAACGCTGAGTAGGTGTTCTACAAGCAGTGATTAAGCGAAACGGTGACACTCCAAGCTAGCACGTGAACCGGACTGTCGGATGCGGAGCTGCAATGCACACCACGAGAAAACAACCATCTATTGACCGAAAACCAGGCGCGCAGGTAGCAATAAATATATACCAGTGCAAAGAAAGCACAACGGGGACTCCGCTCAATGTCTTCATCCAACTGTTTCAAGAGCTAGGTGGGCAAACAACGATGCTGAAGCGCAAAGGTTTCATTGTTGAATACTTAGGTTTGAAATAAGTGGTAATAAAGTCTATACCATCTCCTCGAAAGTTGATTGAAAAATGCACATATAACCGATCACTTGTGTCGCGTAAGTCAGTTATTCCAGTACAAGCGTTTATTCGGCAGTCAGGTTTGAGAAAAGCACAGCATGTTTGGCACACAGGGCTCCTCTATAAACATCGTCTACTCACTTCCGTAAACGACGAGTTCTGTAGGCCGATGTGATTCTTCAGCACCCCATAGCGCAAACGAACACCGATCATTCAGCGTCAGCCATGTCCGTCTCTCATTGCCTGTCTATTCCGTTCTTTTGATTCATTGGTTAACTCTGATGGGACGCTTTCACTACAATGCGTCAGAAGGTTAATTATCAATAATGTTCTAATATTCCCTAATAATCAGTAATCGCTTCAGTGGCTTACATGCCGACTAGATTAGTTGAGGCTTCCAAAGAAAGTCGTAGTTTTGTGGGCCAGCTCTGAACACTGCACGTTCATATGATGCATGACAGGGGCGGATGAGTCCGCTGCCGTCACCCATGGCTCAGCGGCATTAGTCACTGACTCGCAATAGTAAGGTCGTGGGTTTGAATCCGAGGATTCGGCGTATGTACGCTCCTAACGGTCGTCTAGCGCTTTCTTAGGTGTGTAGTGGCACTCAAAGTCAGTCTACATGTGAAGAGGTTTCAGAAAAACACAATAAACCCTGTACCACACCCAACTAATGAATGGATCCGAGTAATAATGGCGGGCTAGCCGAACAACCTCTCCCTGGTGTCAGTGGGGTGGTTCGGGTTTACCCCGTTCCAGCAAATAGTTCAGCGGCAGTGTTCCAGGACGTGGTGGGTTTTCGCTTGGCAGGCGTTCTCCTAAAAAGACACAAAGGTCTGATTAACAACAATGTGACGGGGCGATTATGAGTCGCCGCTAAATAAAGTCATAGCCCCTTGCTTCATAATGGCGAAGCATTGTATACCAGCAACGTAATGCTCGTCCGGACGTCAAACATCCCTTTAGCATTGGCGACACGTTCAGACAAAAGCAAAACCTTCACAAAGCCAGGCAACACACGCCTGCACGCACGCATAAATACATCCATGTGTTAAAGTATATGACACTTTTATGACCATCCTACATTCCTTGATCATCTGTCACACGCTTACTATGATCAGGCCCGTTCAGGCGTGCCTCGCTTAGCCGAGAATAAAAGTTTATTTAAATGCGAAACGGTATGGCCAGCAATAACACGTCTTCTGAATAGAACATTTGCGAAACAATCGTCAAAAATTGAATTGCGATAATGATTTCATCGTCTCCTAGGTACCATCAACAATAACCAGTATGCAACCATTTACTTAAATATGCTGAAGACTGCCATGGACATAGGGGTGGAACTTCCGTCATACATTTTGCACCTCATGCTCATTCGGTCACACGTATATTTAAGTATAGAGTTGCATACCGGTTATTGTTAATGGTACTGATGAGACAATACGAAAGGCATGCATCTACCAGTTTTTGTCTTCTTACCGTGTTTTTAAAATTCTGAAGAGAAGTAACTGCTTTAAATGATTTTATCGTTCGAAGCACAGAAAGCGGGTGAGACTTCAGCTGCAATACCACAAGGCTGTACCGGTGTCCGCGTATGGGGTATGGAAAAGCGGTACTAGTAGAAAGAAGTTGCTGATACGACAAGTCATGACGAACTGCACTTGTACTTGATGGTATGACGGAATCACAGTTCTAGTCTCTCGCACCGGTCCTTGTATGGCACACACTTTATAAACTGGGGATGAACCTGGTAGCGACATGTTCCACGAGTTCTACTTACTTCATCTCACCCCTGGGTGATTGCACAGTGGAAGGACGAGCCGTACTCTCAAAGCAGTCTCATAATAAAAAAGGGAAGAAGCGAGTGGTAACCTTTTCAGACCAAGTACAGAACATGCGTTTGGGTACCAAAAGCATGCGCTTTCTGTTCCGATATATAGCCTATTTGTGTTAACCACCGGTCTTAAATCACATTGTGATAGTGTGCTTGGGTTCCTTATGAGCAGCAGGAAATTGAGTAGTGGCCCACCGAAGGAGATTGAGCATCACCACGTTTCCGCCGGTTCATGAATATCAGTCTGGCTGGGTTGACCGAGGAGCGGACTTTTGCATGCAACATGAGGAGTTGTTGAGGTAGACTGCAGTCGTCAGTAGTACTAATCATTCTCAATATCTTCAGATCGTCCACGAACAAAGCACACAGCGGTCAGAGAAGCTGAGGTACATCATTGCGCACCATTCGCTAGCGCCGTACGAGCATGACAAAATCAGTAGATCAGGAGTGATGTGGACCGCAGAGCAATACCAAGCAATCGAAATGCAATACTCACAAATAAATGCGACTGCATAATCTAGGTAGCCAAGCAGAAGCAATTCAGGTTCCCAGTTCCACATGGTCCAATGTTTTCACGTCCCCACCGACACCTATACCGTCCCAACGAGACTAGACCTTAACGTGGCGCGACGGTATGCGGACCTCTATGACCCATTGAGCTATACTGGGTGGTACCTCCGGGCCCCTTAAGAGCTACTCCTACCAGGTTGGTCAACGATTAGAGGTCAGAAAAACTCTGTCTCCTGGTCCTCCAGGTTGGGGGTATGAAACTGGATGGTGTCCATTTCTGTAAAAGCAAACCATTGCCACCACCCAGCTGGCTTGCGAAAAGTCTTTTGTGCCAAGTGCTTTGATTGAGGACCCTACTCGGTCTCATGTCTAGGTCTGGGCGCCCTGGCAGTATCTCAGCCCACGTACAACCATGACTATTTCTTCCGACTTCAACCATATCCTTCATAGAGCAGGGCGGATAAGCGAAAACATACCACTGCTGGCGCCTCCCTTCTTTCTTTTCCACTTTTTCTCTTACTCCCATCCCGACCCCCATTACTAACCTTGCTTCTATAATTCCCAGCGTAATTGACAGCAGCCGTAATGCCACTGCAGTCGAACCCACCGCCGCTACGTTCCCGCACCACTCAGTGGACCCCAATCGCCAACGACTCTTTATAAGGCCACACTGTTCCGTTTCTCTGGAATTAAACGCTCGCACTTCAAAACAAATAGGTTAACCGGCTGCACTCGCACGCACATTGGACACAGTGGATAGTGACGTGTGTTGCGAATTCGAAACCATGATCAATGACCCCACGGGCTTGTTGTATTAACTACATCAGGTTTGTTCTCTCACTGTGTTGAACCCATTCGAAGAAGCTTATGTTGCAACTACTGGTTAAGCTGGGGTGCGCATCGCTATCAACTAGAAGGCTGAGTTATCGTTGTGCCACTTGGCGTCCAAATATAGCTGATCAGCGATGGACCCAAATAGATAACATGGCCATAAGTTCCAAATGGCGTTGTGCCATCCTAGATTGCCGCTCATCCCTCAGCTGGGCAAGCTTACCAGGATGCGCTGCGTAACCAAATTTCGCTCTGCCGTCCTGATGACACTGAGGTTCAGTGCGTTAAGATAGTCTGTCTATAGCACCCCTGTAGTCAGCTCTCTTCAAAGTAGCCCAGGGAACATTGGTCGCACGTCATCTGAAGTTAATAGGCTAACCAATGAAAGCCAATCGCATCTTTCCAACTTTAAGTGGACCAATGAGGATGACATCCCTTGATGCCCTCTAGTAAGCGCACTACTTGAACAACCAGCAAGCAAATTGTGCGTATCTAGTAGTTGCTAAAATACCGATATTTCGATTAGGACACTCTCTCATGAACTATTTATTTTGACCCCATATTTTGGCTGTACATACCTTCCGGAAGTTCCATACAAGTCCCGCAGAGGTCTTTGTCTTCTAATTTGAGGAAGTGGCTGACCCTTTTTTGGGTGGTTGTATTGAATATCTGTACAGTCAGCGGAAACACAATAGTATTGTTGAGACGAGGGCAAGGTTACTCAGGATGGCAATCGCAGCATGTCAATCTCAGCCGTTTTGCTTCAACAGCACAGCAATTCGAGGAGGCAGAGCTGCGATATGATTGACACCCTCACTCGAATCCTATCGCTGCAGTCTACAATCGATCACAATACTGAGAAGCCTTCAGTTGAAGCAATAACTATTGCTGTACAACATCATTTTTAACAGAAATGAGATAGGATGTTTCTAGTAGCATCAAGTGAGCTGTTTGCAAATATGCAAACCAAATGTTTCTATCATGCCGGGTATTATAGATTCAATTTTTCAATTCAGCAAAACAATGCGTTCCCTGCATTGAATACTTGCCTGTGATTGGTCCATTGGCTCCATGTAAACGTGAAAAAAGCCCTCTTGGTCATGGTATCCCCCTGATACTGTAAGTCCATTGAGGGCTGTATTTCCTTAATTGATATCTTGATCATGGCTGAAAGACGCTGCTGTGTCAATGACCGATATCATTTTCGTTGCGTCTGTGGACAGTTGACTACACACATTTCTTCCCTACTGAAGTCTGCCTACCACGCATATTTGGGGGGGGGGGGACTGGGAGATCAGGATTAGAACTGGGCGCCGAATATTGTTCGTGTGTCGTGCAATCTTCTTTTGACTCAGTGACTCAAGGACAAAGGCCAGATGTCCTTTGAATCCCCATGGTGTGCAGG